CTCCACGCCGCCCACTCGGTTGTTGAACCAGGTATAATCCTCCCCAATAAAAGGAGAATCAACCAGTTCACAATCCTCCACACATTCAACAAAAGGCCGATATTTGACTGGAGCATACGGCCGGCCTCCTTTCTTCTCCGAGGGATCGAGCAGACAGTTGAAATCACCCACCACCCCCCATGCCATGTCAGCCGGGAGAGCGGCGTGTGTCTCTCTAAGATATTCCCACAATGGCTCCCTGTCCCTGTACTTACATTTTGCATAAACCACTGACAACCAAAGAGGGTTAAGAAAAGAAGGGTGAGAAAAGGAAAAGGTTAGTGACTGTGCAAAATGGGAGATAAAATGGATGGACGGTGCAATGTCAAAGTTCCAAAAGAGCCAGATTTGGTCATCAGCACCACACCTAGCTCCCGTGAAACCCAACAGCGTCCTATAATAGTCAATTTGCAAGGGTGCCTTCATAGGCTCCAAGATACCTAACAACACTGGAGTGTGCTGTTTCAGTAAAATTCGAAGCTTAGAAAGGACATCCTGTGAGGTGATGCTCCTCACGTTCCAAACAAGGAACCGCATCATCATTGGGAACGCGAAGAAGTGGAACGGGTAACTCTGCGTGGAGCAGGAATCCCCGTCTTATGCTCTGTTGCTTTTCGGGCGTTCTTGGCCGTCTTTCCCTTAGTAGTCGGAGCCTCCCTTGCAGGGGAAAGGCCACGCGCTGCAAGATCCCGGGAAATGTCAGTAGGATCCTCAAAATGATAACCAGTGGACTCGTCACTAGTCTGTGAGCTACACTCGTCATCCTCCCTCCTTACCGAATTGGAAGGAATGGAAGATGCAGCATTATTTAAACCGCAGACCTCATGACGGTCCCCAGGCATATCCCCCAAAGCATCAAACCTATTAGACATAGCAAGAACCAGCTCTGGAGGTTGAGGATCAGGAATATGTACAATAGGAGGAGAGGAAGAAGTAGAGAGAGGAAGAGGAACAACAACAGAGCCTTGCTCAACTCCGGTAGGAGGAACGGATGGCTCAACAGTCTGAGACGCCAACTGTTCAACCACAACAGGTGTGGGAGTAGTGGCGTTAACAGTAGTAGCAATCAAACTAGAATCAGAAATCACAACATTTGGGGAGGGATGAGTAGAAGTGGGCACAAAGGCCTGCATGCTGGATGAGGGTCCCTCCCCCTTACCTACACCATCGAGATCCACGACCTCAATAGGTCTGGATCCTTTCGCTGTCTTTTCTCTCTAAACATACTGTGACTCCTCCCGTTGGGAGTCACCCGCACCTGCACCTGCATCATCAATCGCAATACCTTTCCCCTCCCTTTGACGCCTGACCCTACTCCTACTTCGCCTCCGACGAGGAGGTTGGGAAGTCGCAGGTCCAGCCGTGGAAGGTTGGGGGACAACAACTGCTCTTTGATCAGGCTGACTAGGAGTCAAAGTATTGCACGAAGAATTATCGTGACCCTGTTTAAAATAGGCCGTGCAGTACTTTGGGATGCGCTCATATTCCACAGACTGGAACATACCCACATCCTCCTCGCCAGGCTCATCAGAGAAGCCAATCCAAATCTGCTTGAGACGGGGTTGCAACAAATCAATCTCCACCCGAGCTTTAGCAACATTAGGACGAGTAAAATTGGCCGTGACATCATCAAACTTTTCAATCCATTTTTTGGTGCTTACTTTAAACCATACAATGACTTTTCCAACTTACATACTTTATGCTCATTACCAGGCATAATAAATCCTTCAAGTTGCTGTTAGAATAAAGGACCAACGCTAGAGGGGGGGTGAATAGCGTTTGATCAATAAAATCGCAGGAATTAAAATTTTAAAGGAATATAAAGCGGAAATAAAAGAGAGAAGAAGGCACACCAAGATTTATACTGGTTCACCACAACGTGTGGCTAATCCAGTCTCCCGAGAGACTCTCTCGAGCTACGCTACTACCTTGTTAAGCTTAACGGTGCTCAACGAAACCTTACAACTTGAGAGTTCGAGTCACACAAACCTCAACGCTATCCTCAAAGGAAACAGCCCTTCCTTTGAACAATGAGAGAAGACTCTTCTCTCCAAGTGTCTAAGAACACTAACAAATACTCAAGAACAGGACTCTCTTATAGAGTGAATATGAGTAAACTTTATATGCTCAAGAACAACTCAATGACTTCACAAATTGGCTCTCAAAGAAGCTAAAGAATGAGAAGAATTTGAATGCACTGTAAACAATGGATTGTGAAGAGAGTTGATGATGAAAACAGACCCCAAGCACCCCATTTTATAGTAGAAAAAAAGCTCCAACGTTCAAAAACATTAATGGGGTGATTAGCTTGATTTGTGGGATTAAAACAAATTTGGGATCTGCAGGAAACTGCCTGACCAGCGATGGTCACATACTACCCATCGCTAGTTAGTGCAAAATCTTCCTATTTTTAAAACCAA